GGGGCGGGGGGGGGGGGGGGGGGGGGGGGGGGGGGGGGGGGGCGCTCTGGGCTCCTTCCGCAAAGGGCCCTGGCGCTTGGAGCAGATGCCGGCTCCCAGGGACCAAGGCTCGGCTGACGGCAGCGTCTTCTCCCTCCAGGTCCCTGGAAAACCCCACGCCTCCCTACACACCCAAAATGGGGCGCAGGTGAGACGCACACACACGCACACACCCCAAGGGTGTCAGGGGGCCCAGGTGGGAGGAAGTCTGCTGTCCTTTTTCCCAAAGGGGAAGGACCGGCGGGTTTGGGGTGGGGCAAGGAAGAGGATGTGGCCCCGTCTGCCTCCGAGTGTTGGGAGGGAGACTCGCTGGGCTGCAGCTGCCCCCCCACCGGCCACCGCTCAGAAGAGGCGGGGGGGGCATCCTTGGGCATGGCCCCTCCCAGCCCCTCTCTGCCTCACCCGTCACCACCCGGGACCGCGTGGCCAGAAAGGTCTACGCAGGGATCCCTCCCAGGGACGTTTCGGTTTTGTCCGAGCGTTGGTGGGCCCAGAAGGCCCTTTCTCAGCAGCCGGTGAGCTTCTAGTCCGTTTCGCTGAAAGGGGGGAGACCTGAGTGGTCCCTGGATGTCCAGAACCCACCCTCCCCGCCCCCAGATGAGGGATACTTTTATTAGACCCCTAAAAAAGTCATCCGACCTACTGGCTTTTGTGGGTCAAAGCCCCGCACGGGGGTCGTCGTCTTGATGCAGAGAGAAGAAGGCCGATCAAAGCCAAGCCCTTGTTGTAAAAAAGGCTCCTTTGACGCGAGGTTTCTCTCTCCTCTTCCCGGCCGCCCTGGGCTTCCTCCCTCCCAGCAGTCATTGGGGAGGGGGCCTGCACGCACCCCCAGAGTGGTCAGACACGGGTGGGGGTCCCCGGCAGGGGCACGCTTGACCCCTGTCCCCGCCGTGGTTTCCCCCAGGAGCATCGAGTCCCCGAACCTGGGCTTCAGCGCCGACGCTTTTCTCCCCCACCTGCTGGAGGACGACCTCGGGCCCCTCTCGGACCTGGAGTTGGAGATGGACTCACAGAACTGGCAGCACACGGTGGGCCGGGAGGTGGTGGCCGCGCTGCCCCAGCGGGAGATCGACCGCCAGGAGGTCATCAACGGTGAGGGAGCCCTGCCCCCCCCCCACCAAGGAGGGTCTCCTTTGGCGGCCTGGGGAGAGACCGGGGGGGAAGCCCTAGAGGGCAAGGGGCTGCCCTCCCTCCTCCTGAGACCTGCGCCACCCTCTCTCTCTCTCTGTCCTCTGCCCCAGAGCTGTTCGTGACGGAGGCCTCCCACCTGCGGGTCCTGCGCGTGCTGGACGTCGTCTTCTACCAGCGGATGAAGAAGGAGAGCCTGCTCTCGCGTGAGGAGCGGGACCTGATCTTCCCCAACCTCCCGGAGCTGATTGAGATCCACAGTAAGGCAGATTCTCTCTCTCTCTCGCCGCCCCCCCACCCCACCCCCAAGAAGTGGGCCTGCCTTCCACCTCCACCCCTCCTGGCCCGCCTGCTGGGCCCGCACTCTCTGGCGGCTCTGGGGAGCATCCTCCGGGGGGGGGGACTCCCCTGTTCTTCCTCTGCCCCTCCCTTCTCAACTTACCCCCCCCGCGTCCCTCCCCCAGATTCTCTGTCCGAGGCCATGAAGAAGCTGCGCGAAGAAGGCCCCGTCGTCAGGGAGATTGGGGACCTGATGCTTGCGCGGGTGGGTAACTCTTGGGGAGACCGCGGGGGGGGTTCTTGGGCAGGGGGGCTGCATCGTGTGGTGCTTGCGCCCATTGGGGCCCTGGACCCCCAGACCCACAGCCGTTCCTCCTCTCCCCAGTTTGACGGGGCCGCCCGGGAGGAAATCCAGGAGGTGGCCGCCCACTTCTGCGCTTACCAGTCGGTGGCCCTGGAGCTGATCAAGACCAAGAAGCGGAAGGAGACGCGCTTCCAGCTCTTCATGCAGGTGGGGGGGGGGCAGACACACACACACACACACACACGCAGAGAGACCTCCGCCGCCCCGTCACAGGGCTCGGGGTGGGAGGCTCCGCCAGACGAGGCAGGTCAGCCGCGGCCT